AATATCTTTTAAACCTCATAACCCCGCGAACTCTCTCTTCTTGTGTCCTCCGGATCCTTTCAGCCCTCAATTAAGATAATGCTGCAGTGACTAGGTTTCTAAAACACTCCTGAATGGCCCAATTGGTTGAGACTGTTGCGGAAGCCAAATGTATATAGTGTGAATGAGTCACAACTACTATACCAAAAATTATGACAACCACTAAATAATAAACAAGACAATAAGACAACAATTAAAGAACACCAGAATTTACGAGGTTCGGCCAATTTTGCCTACTTCCTCGGACACAATCAATATTTTATTCCACTCCAAAATTACAAGTGAAATAATACTAAAGAGAGAAGATACAAATGCTTTAAGAAGATAAAAAAGGCAAATGAGAGGTGTGTTTAAATTCTAAACATTAGGCCTCCTTTTATAGGGTGAAATTTCCATTCAAAATTGTCATCCACCGATGCGGGACTTTTGACAATTTCAACAAATCTCCACCTTGGCAAAATTTCACATCTTCAATTTTCTCTCAATTACAAATTTTGGTTGTGTCTTCATCTTCAATCTTTAGTGTTCAACAATGTTGATCAAATCCAAACAATGTTGAAACTTGACCGCAGTCACCACTTTTGTCAGCATATCAGTAGGGTTCTCCGTAGTATGAATTTTCTTCACCGTGNCTGCCCCTTTTCTCGACAAAAGGCACATTCATCTTTGCTGGGTCTAAATCTCGTCTTGGATCTTCCCTTCTTAGTCCTCGTTTGATTTTGAGGACGACCCCTCACAATTAGTGCTTCTCCTTCTCCGCCCTTCTGTTTTTCTCCCTTTCTTTGTTCATAGCTGTACAAAGCCGAACAGACTTCTCTGAGAGAAATTTTGTCATTTTCATGGAGTAGAGTAGTTTCAAGGTGCTCGTACTCATTAGGAAGTGACCCCAACAACATCAAGGCCAAGTCACCATCATCAAAAGTTGCATGCATATTTTGCAAATCTGTGACCAACTTATTGAAACTGGTCATATGTTCATTCATTGTGGTACCAGGAATATAGGTGAAGTAAAACAGTCTCTTCTTCATGTACAATTTATTTTGACTGTTTTTCTTCAAAAATTTATCCTCCAGTGCTTTCCATAATTTACTTGCAGAAGTTTTCTTTGTGTATGGATATTTCTGCTCTATAGCAAGGTAGGATCGAATGGTACCGCAAGCAACACGATTGATATTTTTCCAATCTTCTTCTCCAATAACATCTGGCTTCTTTTCTTCAATGGCAAGATCTAGCCCTTGTTGAAAAAGAACATCTAGAACCTCGCCTTGCCACATCCCAAAATGTCCTGACCCGTCAAAAATTTCTACCGCAAATTTCGCATTTGACACAATTCTTGTCATAAGCGAAGATGCCAACGATGACGTATTATTGACACTTGATGTAGATTCTTCTTGTTTATTGTCTTCCATTTTGACACAAATATTATTTAGTAGCTGACGACACAAATCAAGATTATTTCCTTTCTGGTGTGGAAGATCAGACTAAGCTGCAATCACAGAGCATACTCAGACAGAACCTTGACTCAGTTACCAAGATAGATCTTTTCTGATGTGGAAGATCAGACTATGCTGCAACCACAGACTATACTTAGACAGTACCTTGGCTCTGATACCAATTGTTGCGGAAGCCAAATGTATATAGTGTGAATGAGTCACAACTACTATACCAAAAATTATGACAACCACTAAATAATAAACAAGACAATAAGACAACAATAAAAGAATACCAGAATTTACGAGGTTTGGCCAATTTTGCCTACTTCCTCGGACACAATCAATATTTTATTCCACTCCAAAATTACAAGTGAAATAATACTAAAGAGAGAAGATACAAATACCTTAAGAAGATAAAAAAGGCAAATGAGAGGTGTGTTTAAATCCTAAACATTAGGCCTCCTTTTATAGGGTGAAATTCCCATTCAAAATTGTCATCCACCGATGTGGGACTTTTGACAATTTCAACAGAGACATCAAGGCGTGGAAGTAAACCTCAGTCAAAATATTGAGAGATGGAGTCAAATTCATATAGAGTTGGTACGCAAGCAAGCGCGATGGCGGACAAAGCTGCTTACAATATAAAGTGTTAAGGGAAAGGACAAGGGTTGAGTTTGTTTCGTAAAAGGAGGGTGACATTGGTGGTGGAGTTGTTATTGTGATCACTATAAAGTAACAGTTCATACTTGATAACAAGGGAGAGTTAAGTTTTAAGATACGGTGTTTAGACAACTTAAATAAGAGGGAAGAGGTAAGTGGGATTAAGAACATCAGGGTTTTAGGAGTCTATTTCCAAAGTAGAGGGAGGCAGTCACTAATTAAAAGGACTCTAGACCCATGACGAGGAGCATGGGTGTGAGGTAGATGCATTTATACTTTCAATTACACTGATATAATAGGGTTTAATCTGTTTTAATAATAGATGAGTAATATGTTGAGCCTCATAAGTTGTTACAAGACTCACATCTAGGAATAATTACAGAAAGTAAAGGGTTGTAAAACAAATGGAACGACTGAACTATGTCTAATCAAACATATGTAAGATTAAACTATCTATTCATTGAAAAAGAAGCACTTTAGAACGGTGATTTTGTCATTGCTGCTGGATGGAATAGGCAACTACATATTGTTCTTAAACGATCTTCTAGGAGAAATGTTGATGAAAATCTGAGGTCAGATAACTGCAAACATTTATTAGAAGAAAAAAGGAATTTTGCATTCATAATGTTGGCTGGGTTGAAGGATGAAAGCAATCTAGAACTTGGGCAGTCACTATAAGAAACTACATACTATGTTTGAAGAATTCTTCAAAGAGAACTGTTGGCCACTTAATCTGGAACTTGGCTAAAGAAGTAAGAAATGCTGATGTACACTGCTCTAAGAATTTTTTGTTGTTATTGTTATTTGTGTTCCTTTTGGGTTTGTGTGTTGGTGTACTACTTAATAGAACTAATATGCCTTTCTTTATTACGGCCTATGTCACCTAGGCAGGACTAAAAGGAAACTTTTCACAATATAAATTATCCCATGCATTTTGATATCTGCTTTCAAGTTTTGGTTTGTTTGCAGAAACATGCTCTTTCTGAGTTTATATGGGCTCTCCAAATCTGGAACTTATGTACATTAGTTGTCTTTTTGTGTATGTTTGAATTGTGTGTGTATGTGGAATTTTGTGTGTTCCTATTATTACTCGGGCTTTATATTTGGTTCATTTCTCTTTTCTTCCAGCTCAAGCGTGGGAACGATTATACTGATACTTCTGACTCTAAGATTTAGAACTTCCTGGAATTTTTGCTTTCTTTTTTAATATCATTTTACTAGTATATTCTCAAATTGTAGAAATTAGTTTAAAATTTTCACGTACTTTCAGGGTTTTTGTACTTCTTTTGTCTAGATGGCGAAGTGTGACATAGGTAAGTAGGTGACCTTGGCTGGATCATAATTCATAATCCCAAGTTGTAGCCTGTAGGAGAGTTCATTCCTTTCCAGCACCGGGGAATCGGTATTCTTCTCCCTAATAAATTCAGTTGTTTCGCAAGAGTCGATTGTCGATACTCGATTGTATTAAACTGTGATTACAAATTTCGAAATGCATTTTTGAGCTGGATTTTTTTCGTTTAGCATTTTTGTGTAGTGTTAAATCTTTGACATATATATCTAGTGAGAGATTAGTCTACGCCTGTTTCACTGAAATATCAAGTAGTCTAATTGAAACTCCTTAGGCAAACTGAAGCAATAAAAATGAGATTGATCGGATAAACTTTACTTGGAAATCATGTGTCATCACATGCCTCAAAGTTTGCTTTTCTCCTGCCTCGATCTTGTTTGGATGGTTGTTATATATTATTTCTTTATGTATCGCATTATATTTTATTATATTGTATTATATTGTATTGTTTTAATAAATATAATGTTTAAGTAAATTGTACCGTTGTCCATCGTTTCATAATTCACACACGAACAACTTGAAGAATAAGTGTACAATATTACCAACAAAATAAAAGTGTATGAGGTAGAGTAATTATTAAAAACGATAGGGTAAAGCATAAAATATAATTTTAGTTAGGGCAAGATGAGAAAAAAGAGGTCTTTTTATAAATTTAATAATACGATACAACAAAATTTAAATAACAATCAAAGCAATCATTGTACTTGAGATTCTTTTTTTCAAATAAGCTAATAATATAATCATTCCTTAACAAAGAAATTAAAGCTGAAGGCGCACGGGCTAAGCATCCCTATAAATCTCTACAAGCAGCCTAGGTGGAAGTCGCCAGATAATGGCTAGTACTGTTGGAAGAAACAAAGGTGATATTTAGTTGGGATAGTTAGAAAATAATCTCCAGATAAAATTTGACATTGTTAATACTATGTTTGGTTTCACTTTGCCTTTTCAAATGAAATTCAGCAGTATTTAATACAATGTTTAGTTCTACTTTTCTTTTCTGCATAACTAATACCCGCATAAAAAAAGTATCCAAAATTAACAAGAACTTTCAGGTTTGACGTCTTCAGTGTTAAGCAATCAATGTTGAGCACAGTTGTTCTGCTCATTAACTAATTAAACATGGCTCGAACTTTATACTGTCAAGTTGATCCATAAATACACTGAAATTGCGAAGATACTCGAGCTCAACTTGTACTGAACTAAAACAAAACTTGTTTTCATCAATGAACAAACCAAATCACCTTGAACAGCTTATTTCCAACTCAGCGGGGCTCATTTGCACCCCAATTCCCAGCTTCGGCGCAAAGGAGGGGGTGTCCCGGGGTGGGGGTGGGGAGGAAGAATATATGATTCTACGAAACTGTTTTATGATGGCAGCAGCAAAGTAACGCATCAGAAAACTGGAATGAATTGATTATGAAGATATATCGTTAGATTCAAAAAGATGCACCTCATCAATGTCTGCAAAGAACCTGCGCGTGTTGGGAGAACTTTGACAAATGAAAAAGAACTCCCCCCGATATGTTAAGTGGTGTATCAATAAATAATAGGTGGTACAACAAGCTAAAATGAATGTAAAATACATATGGCAATTCATTATATATTCAGCTCGGAGACTTATCCAAAACAAAAGGTTCATGAACTAGCTAGGAACCATGACATATAAACACAAGGAGTTTTACCAAGAAATAAACAAAAATGCGATGACACTAACAAATAAATCCTTAATGGTCACGTAGAGCAGACTGTCGTCAGCTACCTCTTTGATGGAGTCATAACAAGTTGTTGTACCTCATGAAGAAAAAGTCTACATTCTTTATCCTTTTTCTTCGTCTTTCAAGTACAATCTATATAGCTAGCATGCACAACCTCCCCCTTGCTGCTCATTTTGGGATGTATTTGTGGTAGGCTTCAAATTAACATCAACCATATCTTCCCCTTTTGTTGATGATAGTGTTTCCATCCCAGGTAACGCAGCAGCAATCTTTCGGAATAGAGGCTGCAATTTTCAATTTCATATTCTTAGGATCATGCTGCAATTTGACTATGAAAAGAAATGATGCCATTCTGAGCAGAACTAACTGATCAGGATATGATATCTGATCCTCATTCAATGCAAATGAATTTCAATGATAATTGCAGCAAGGAACTTAAGAGTGTCTGTACCTTGATATTGAATCCAGCTTTAGCACTGGTTTCTATATACATTACTCCAAATTCACGAGCCTTAGCATCTCCTTCTTCTGTGGAGACTTGCCTGTTTAAATCAGCATCATCACTGTAAGATAAATGATGGAACTGACATGAAAAAGATCCATACACTAGTGTGCAACTGACCGGCAGAAACATTTTAGTCATACCCAGAATACAGAGGAAAATAATCTAAGAAGTACACGGCTGCATAAGTAGGTAAAGCAGTTGTCAAAAGGAAAACATCGATCCATCCACACCATACCTTTTATCAACAAGATCAGTTTTGTTCCCAACAAGAACAATAATGACATCACTGCCACGTTCAGTACGTACTTCCTCAATCCACTTTGAAGTGTTAAGAAATGATTGGCGGTCTGCAGATATGATGATTTATCACCAAAACCATTAAACAAAGAAATGAATATCATACAATATAGAGAACCAATTTATTTATAGACTCCGATCCCTTGGAAACTTTTATTATCACCAAACATAAATTTAGACCATAGAGGGCAGGGCATAGTTATATGTAGAAATATTCTACGTCAAGAAATCACTTACTGGCAACATCATATACAATCACAGCAACAGAAGAATCTCTAATGTAGCTCGGAATAAGACTCCTAAATCTCTCTTGACCAGCAGTATCCCTGCGTGGGTGCAGATAATGCTTTAGAAAAAATAAAATGCCTGATTCATTGTTCATGCTAAATTGCTACTCCAATAAAGTCTCTCTTGCCCAATATCGTCATCATTAATAAAATTCAAAGATTACAGTAACATGAATAAATTATTATTTCGAGTTCTCTTTTTCTCCAAGTCTGCTATTTTCTCATATCACCTAACATAAGAATAACTGAATAACAAAAGCAGATGGAACAAAGACGTGCATTTGAAAACTAATTAGTCTTTATAAAGACTATTCTAGCTATAATTAATTCACGCTTCTCTTTCACATTTTCGAGTNAGAACTGAGTATTCTCTAATAGACGCGTGAAGAGTATTACGCACAGCTGTAAGTCATGTATTCAGAAATAGAGTAGAAAGATATTTTTCCTAGTCAATCACTTCAATCTTTTAAGTCCTCATATACTTCTGTATACGGGTGAAACTGAGCCCGTGGGACGCCTCGGCTTCTGATAAAGTGAACGGAGCAAAAAACATAAAGGCAAGGGACCGGAATCGAGGCAAGGAGCCCCTTGGTCCGGGGTCCTGGCAAAACACCCGCCCTTCAAAGTATCGGGGCCATGAACCCCAGGTCCGGTTCAAACCCCAAAAGCCTCGGAGAGCAATACCACACAATCGAGCACGACCAACAAAAGGTTGTGATATTCGCGACCGGCCGGATATCACGGCGTGGATCTCGACACATATGGGCAGAGAACCAGTGATTAGTTAAATGAAAGATTTTTACCTTTTATGGAATTGTACTTAGGGTAAAAACTTCCCTACTATATAAAGGGGGTCTAATTATTCATCAGAAACATTGTAACACGCACATCAATGTAATATACTCTTATTTTCTCTGCTATTCAAAGTTTTTATTCTTGCTCATCAGTGCTTCGTTATTGTGAGTCCGGGATCGAGGGCAGGCATCTCATTAAGGCTGTTACTAAGTCCGGGATCACCCCTCTTGATCGATTTGATAATTTATCACGTCCTTTATTTGTTTAATCTAACACAATTTATCGTTTGTATTGAATTAATCCACGTATCCTTAAAACCACTTATAAATTTAATTGTTATCCGTTTTGAGGGTAAACAATTTGGCGCCCACCATGGGGCTAAGGATAATAGTGGCAATTTGATACAAATTTCCACAACACACTCTATTTTACACTTGTTTCTTGAGCCTTTAATTTCAGGTCAGATTAAAAATGTCAAACTCTCAATCTGCCCATTTGAACGTGGATGCTGAGTCCGGCCACCATGGCGAAAATAATAACGTGGTACCCAGCAACGAGGTGCCCCCTACTGACCCCAACGGAGTCCCAGTCGTTGATCCGATTGATGCTAACTCACACGTGTCTATCGAAGCAAACTTGCCTACTTACCCCGAAAACAGCATTCGCGGGGGAGCTCGGTCGATAGCCCAGAGCACACACGATGGCGAAGGTGATGGGATCACGCGAACAGGCTCAACAAGCAACGATAGCCCAGTTGCAGAACCAAAGCCGAGCCTCCAGCAGAGTTGAGCCCGAATCGTCTCGGGAAAACGCCCGCAGAATGAACCAGCCACAGAAATGCCGGGTGAAGCAAAATTCGGGACCAACCCCGAGATAATAAATATGCTTGAGGAACTGACAAAATGGGTGGAATCGGGTTTAAAGAAAAAAGTAGAGACCTATAACTGCAGGGTCGACCAAATCCCGGGAGCACCACCGATACTGAAGGGCCTGGATTCCAAAAAATTTGTCCAAAAGTCGTTCCCTCCAAGCACAGCTCCGAAGCCGATCCCGAAGAAGTTCCGTATACCCGAAATTTCAAAGTATAATGGGATAACTGACCCCAACGAACATGTGACCTCTTATACGTGTGCAATCAAAGGAAATGACTTGGAAGATGATGCAATAGAATCCGTTCTGTTGAAAAAGTTCGGAGAGACCTTGTCGAAAGGAGCTATGATATGGTATCACAACTTAACCCCTAATTCTATTGACTCGTTTGCTATACTTGCAGATGCCTTTGTAAAAGCGCACGCCGGGGCCATCAAGGTCGAAACCAGGAAATCGGACCTTTTTAAAGTAAAGCAAAGAGATAACGCGATGCTCAGGGAATTTGTATCGAGGTTTCAAATGGAACGGATGGACCTGCCTCCGGTCGTAGATGATTGGGCCGTTCAGGCCTTCACCCAAGGACTCAATCCCCGAAGCTCATTGGCTTCAGAGCAGTTGAAGCAAAATCTAATAGGTGAGCAAAGTTTTCGAGGATCATAAGATTAAAGGGATCATATCGACACCCTATCATCCTAGTGGGAACGGGCAGGCAGAGTCTACAAACAAGACCATACTCCAAAACCTTAAGAAGAGACTGACCGATGCCAAAGGAAAATGGAAGGAAATTTTGCCCGAAGTCCTGTGGGCATACCGTACGACCTCAAAATCTATTACTGGGGCCACCCCATTCTCGTTGGTCTATGGCGTCGAAGCGCTAATACCGGTCGAGGTAGGAGAACCGAGTTTCAGGTTCCGATATGCGACTGAAGAGTCAAACGGTGAGGTCATGAGCACGAGCCTGGAACTATTGGACAAGAGGCGTGAGGCCGTCCTCGTCCGATTGGCCGCCCAAAAATAACGGATCGAAAGGTATTACAACCGGAGAGCCAACCTCCGACACTTCAATATCGGGGACTTGGTGTTAAGAAAGGTGACACTGAACACCCGAAACCCCAACGAAGGAAAGTTGGGACCGAATTGGGAAGGAACATATCGAATTATCGAGATTACCGGTAAAGGTTCATACAAACTCGAAGCAGGGAACGGTGAACAACTACCAAACAACTAGAACGTGACCCACTTAAAATGATACTACTGTTGAAGTACGACCCCATTCATTCTTTTCCTTACATATATTACGAATTGGACTAACACTTGCAGGCAACAGCCAAAGAATGATGCAGTTGCTAGGCCTGAAAGCACGCGTTGCACTCTTTTTTCCTTGAACCGGTTTTGTCCCAAATGGGTTTTCCAGCAAGATTTTTAACGAGACAACAGTGGATCGTGCTAACTTAGAATCAAAGACCGGTTATGAACCGGAATCGATGGTCGCATCAATAGTATCCGAGCCCTTTCGACGATCGACCTGGAATACTGGTGGCCATCACCCTCGGGTAATAATTCTAGCAAGGAAGAAAACTTTGTGCTTGAACAGTCTGGGCTCGGTGGATAGGATTTATTGTAAGGGCCAAACGGTCAAAGTAAATTGTGCCCGCGTAGACCACCTAAGCCATAACACGAAACTTGTACATACTTACAATCTTGTATATCGCGCACAGGAATGAAAGAAAGTTTCTACCTTACAGACACATATTTTGCCCCTTAAGACTATTACATTTTTCCTTAAGGATATCGAGCCCAAGGGTCGCCTCTATCCGGATCCAAGAGATCACCCCCACTCGGGGACTGTCATCCAAGGCAAGTTCGGACGGCTCGGGTATCAAAGCCCGTAGGTACAAAGCCTATTAGGCAGTACCTGAACTCAAAAGGCTACGGCCACCTTAGAAAAGGCTCGGAGACGTCCGTAACCCGTAATTGAAACATAAAGGCCTTCAAAAATTCCAAACCGGTTCAAAGTCTACCCTCGGCAAATCTATAATCTAAAAACATCTAAACAAGCACTTCAGGGGAAGCTTTCGGTCATACCGAGCCCCCCACAAGATTCAAACAAAATTTACATGCTAAGGCATTTGAAAACTTTGCAATCATAAAGGGGAAGCCAAAAGAAACGAACTCAAAAATTGCCAAAGGGAAAAAATCCTTATATACATTGCAATAAAAGTCTTTTACAAAGTCCAACGATAACGGCCTCAATAAAATGAACAAAATGCAAAAACAAAGAAAAATCCCTAAGGCACCTAAGCCTGATCTTCCCCAAAACCCGCCTCGTCACCGGAGCCGTTGGGGTCTTCTCCATCCTCGGGTTCGCCAGAGCCCTTAGAACCTTCCTCACCCTCGGGGTCAGCCAGCTTCTTGGCCTCTACCTCGAGCCTTTTCGCATTTTCGATCTCGGCCGACAGGTCGAAACCTCGGGCATGGGCCTCCTCGAGAGCCTCCCTTCGGGACAACCACTTCATGTACTCGACTGTAACTTTCAGGCGGTCCTGGGCTGCCTCAGCATCAGCCCTGTACTGGGCCACCATCTCTGCAGCATCAGCCCTGGTTATTTCCGATGCAAACTTCGTTGTTTCGAGCTCCTTGCCGAGGGCATCGTGTTCAGCAATGGCCAAGCCCAGTTGAGACCGGAGGTCTTCGATTCGTTGAGCCCATGCTTCGGCCACTCGGAGTTGGACCTCCACTGATGCCAGCTGCTCCCGGGCAGTCTCCTTCTCCGAAGCCAATCGGTCCATTTTTCCTTTCCACCCTTCGGCCATGGCCTTGACCTCGTCCATCTCGGCTCGGAGTTGGTCGATCCTGTCAACTTTCAGCTTGACCTGCGGAGTTTGGCCGTTAGTCTCCATGTCTAACTCATCATCACTAACTTCAAAAATCTTTACTTGTTCCACCAGGTCGGCATGCTCCTTTTGAGCCGCATCCAACTCAGCCCGGAGACTCTTGGCTTCTTCTTCACGTTGCTCGCTAAAAGCTTATACATGTCCCTCTTCTCAGCAAGCTCCTTGACCTCAGCCTCGAGCTAGTTAACCTCAGCCTGGTACCGGAGGAAACTTTTATGATGAAGTACCGAGGCCTGCAAAAATATAAAGAAAACAAAAAGGCATGAGATATCAAAAACTAAATCCGAAGATGAAAGAGTGTAATGACGCCTTACCCGGTTCAGCGCCTGCTGTGCTTCATTAAACAAGCACGGCGTTATCCACCTCATTTATTTTTGCCTGGTCTTCTTCGGTTACCAGGCACCGAAGGTAGTTAGCTACACCAACAGGGGTAGAAAGAACCCGAGCATCCTCCGGTACGGTGATGATTATTGACTGCTTTCGGTCGGGATCCATGCTCGGGATGGGGAACCGGTTGATTAATTTTGGGCTCGAGTTCAGCCCGCAGACCTTCGAAGATGGGTCTTTCCTCGGCACCTCCAAATCACCCAACCCGGAGAAGTCTTCCAGGGCGGTGGAGTCCACACCTTCAAAACAAAACTGAGGGGATCGTCCGCACCATGAGCCTCTTCGTTGGATCGCTCCTTTGTCGTTTGAGCCTCTTCCAGCATGGACTCGGTATAAGAAGGCGACCTTGAAATGTCTATTACACCGAGTGTCTCCTTCGGGGCATGGCCGGCATCCCGGGAAGTCTCGGCTCCGGTCTCCTCATCGACTTCCCTAATCTGAGGGAGATCAGCCTCATGAATCTCCCTGTCAACAACCACCCGCTCTTCGGGGGAGATCGGTTTACGGGCCACAAGAATATCATCCTCCTCGGGCTCATCCCTGAGCCGATAAAGTGAGTCCGAGTCGGGTGCTCGAGAGCCAGAACTCTCCTTTGGCTTGCGGGCCAATCTTCTCCTTGGTTTCTTCTTCTACGAGCTCGGGGAACTCGGAGCCTTTCTTTTCTTCTTCTCTCTTGCAGCAGCCCCAAGCTGTCCCGAGGCGTGGGGATCAACGGACAAGTCCTCATCCCCTACTGAAGGCCTAAGCTCAATGGTCTTAGGCAAGCCTGCAAAAAGAACAGAAAGGAAATGAGAATGTGATGCTAAAAATTACTTATTCGGGAAAGAGATCTTACCGTGAGAACGAGCCTCCCAACGACCCTTCGAGAGCTCGCGCCATGAGCGCTCAGAATAAGGCATCTGCAAGCAAATGCCCTCGATCCACTCCTTGAGCCGAGGAATGGCGTTTGGGACTCGAGCAAGGGCTGCACCACAGCAAATACCGATGAGAAAAAGGGAGATAAAACATAAAATCGACATTTAAAATAAAGCTATTCTTACGTGATACATTCCACTTTTCAGGGAATGGCCTGAACTCGGCAGGGATCAATTCTGCGGTCCTCACCCGGACAAAGCGTCCTTGCCAGCCCCGATACCGATCCTCGTCGATGCTTGAAAATGGGCCTTTGTTGGCCCGGCGTACGAGCTTTATCAGTCCCCCGAAAGATTCGGGGACTATACACGCGGAGTAGATGATCGATGGTGAACTAGCAGGAGTCGATTTTGTTCACAAAGAATCGGAGGAGGATTATGATCCTCCACAGTGTTGGGTGGATCTGACCGAGGCACACTTCATACCTCCTACAGAAGTCCAGAATAACTGAGTCCACCGGCCCAGTGTGAAGGGGTAAGTGTAAACACTCACATACCCCTCCATATGGGTAGTAATGTCGTCATCGGGCCCGGGAATTACTATGTCCTTATCCGCCTAGCTGCAGTCCTTACGAACTGCAGGAAGGACGGCCTCGGTGATGGAGCAAATATACCTAGAAACCGCCTCGTATTGGCCTTGCACCGATAAGGGTTTTTCGACCTTGAAGTCGTCCGCGACCGAACACCCCCCGGGGACGAACATTTTCAAGGGAGGCTCGGCTGCCGGTTCATCGGTAGCCACGCCCGGAGCGGACCTCTCAAGGTCAACCACATCGGGAGCGGTCTCTTCGACTTTAGTGGTCGGGCGTGAAGAAGAAGTAGCAACTTTTTGGGGAACAGTTTTAGAAGTCTTCGCCATTGTTATCTAGAAAAACGTTAGGAGAAGTGAGAAGGAAGATTAGGAGATGAAGGGTAAAAGCTTGCCGAGAAAATCAAACGTGTTGGTTTGGGTAAAAGATAAATGAAAACTTGTGATTTGCTAAAAACTCTTGAAGAACGAAGGTAAAAATGTTGGGGGTATGAAGAAAGGCAGTAATATCCTGAAGGTACGAAGGTAGAAGCTTGGTCAAAAGTAAAAAATGAACGAAGAAGGGTAGTATTTATAGAGGCTTCACGCCGTTTCGTGTCCAGGGACGGTCTGCCGATGGCCGACACGCGTTTGAGGTCATTATGACGCGACTGACAGGACGTTTCAAATTCTTTGTCGTTTCTGTCACGGCGAATTCAAGAAGGAATCGAGGTGCTCGTGTCATTTCTCGTCGTTTCCGTAAACTCATTCTCCGAGAAACGAGGGGACTATCTGTATACAGGTGAAACCGAGCCCGTGGGACGCCTTGGTTTCCGATAAAGTGAACGGAGCAAGAAACGTAAAGACAAGGGACCGGAATCGAGGCAAGGAGCCCCTTGGTCCGGGGTCCGGGCAAAACACCCGCCCTCGAAAGTATCGGGGCCCTGACCCCCAGGTCCGGTTCGAACCCCAAAAGTCTCGGAGAGCATTACCAAACAATCGAGCACGACCAACAAAATGCCGTGATATCCGCGACCGGCCGGATATCACGGCGTGGATCTCGACACATATCGGCAGAGAACCGGTGATTAGTTAAATGAAAGATTTTTACCTTTTATGAAATTGTACTTAGGGTAAAACTCTCCTATTATATAAAGGGGGGTCTCATTATTCATTAGAAATATTGTAACACGTATATCAAGGCAATATACTCGTATTTTCTCTGTTATTCAAAGTTCTTATTCTTGTTCATCAGTGCTTCGTTATTGTGAGTCCGGGATCGAGGGCAGACATCTCATTAAGGCTGTTACTAAGTCCGGGATCACCCCTCTTAATCGGTTTGATAATTTATCTCGTCCTTTATCTGTTTAATCTAATGCAATTTATCATTTGTATTAAATTAATTCATGTATCCTTAAAATCACTTACAAATTTAATTGTTATCCCTTTCTAAGGGTAAACAACTTTCTCGGGCGGATGTAGAGTATATGTGTTAATTGCTGGATCCACCTCTGCACACAAAGCCAGTGGCGAAGAAAAAAATTGCTGCTCTTTGCGTCTTTTCCGTATTGTTCTTCCTTCACTAGCTTATTTTCGTTACCATTTTAATTAAAGTTTCAGTCTTTTATCATAGGAACCATACAGGGGTATTTTGCACTTTGATATATTCATTTTAGAAGAAGCGTTATCATAGGGGAAATCAAATAACTCAAAAAATAAAAATCCAAGCATCAAATTCTCCCTATAATTAACATATGGATGGCTTATCAAGAGTAACAAAGAACGGTACAAAAACTGAACATTAAATTATATATATGCCGACTAAACAAAAAAAAAAAGATGAGAATATGGAAAATTAGAAAGAGGAGACCTGATAAGTGGTGTCGAATTTATCATACATGAAGCGAGTAATGATGCTGGTTTTGCCCACAGATTGATCTCCCAAAAACACCAGCTTGTACTTTGCTAATGGCGACACCACCGCCATTTTTGGATTTTCCTTACACACAAACTAAACTTCCTGAGATGATGAGATCTGAATTCGGTTGAATGTGGAAAGAGAAAGAAAAGAGAGAAAATTAGGGAAAAGAGACGCACGAAGGGCAGGCTCTCTGGTTGCCTTTGAATTGTCAATTTATATACCGCTCTCTTAAGAAACCGCCAACTAAACGAACAAATGTCAGCCTGCTCAATTTTCCTAATACAACACACTTGCCTTTAGAAATACTTAAAAGTTAATAGAGCTTGAAATAATAGTAGAGTTTAACTTGTGTATATCAACAATGTAAAAAAAAAATAAAAAAATATATATATATACATACTATCAGATTACTCAAAAGATAACGACATATAATTCTCGGATCCGTAATATTTATATATAAGGCAGATTAACTACCACAATAGGTAAGTATGACCTGATTTTTCATAAAAGTACAACATTTATATCATCAAACGAGAGTAAACTTATTTCTTTTTTTCATGTATTTTTTCATAAAATTACAACATGTATCATCGTGCACAAAACTGTAGTTTTCAACTATCCATATCTCGAAAGATAAAAGTCTGCTTCTTTTTATTTTTATTCTTTATGTTATGACAATGAAGATGAGAAATCAGTTCACATGTCTAAGGGGAGTTCCATTTCTGTGAGGTTATTTACTACAACTCTCCCATGACAAAATAACAATCTATGTGCATGTTCTGGTACACGAGCAATTATTAAAACTATCTATATACATGACCCAATTTTATAGCTTACTATATTGAGTAAACGTATCTCCTTAATTAACTTTAGCTTGTAATCTTATCGTTTCTGAAATTGTCAAAAATTTAATTGTTAACAACAAATGATCATATCTCATATTTAAAGGATTACTTATTATTTCTGCATCTTACCATTAGATTTGTTTGATGATGAATTAGATGAATGAAGTAAACATCATTTCAAGTTCCAAATGGACTATTGGAGTTTTTCCGTCCTCATATTCGTTCCTTTTTGAAAAATCAGTTACTTTACAATTAAAATCGTTAACACATCAAGTAACATTGACTTTAAATGCTGATCATGAGCTATTTCGTGAAATTTAAAACCAAAATATATGGAAGAAAACCATGCTTTTATTTAGTAGATATCCTTTATTCTTTCAACAAAAGATAATCCCATACCATAAAGGATTGTCGATTCACTGGACGATTTTCCTAATATTACCGACAACTAAAAAGTAACACCAAAAAGAAATTTCAACGTTTTTATTAGCAACGAAACTTCTAGGTGATACAATCACCCATAATCAGACGAAATAGTTGTTTTGCGAAAAATAGTAAGCTTGTCAAGAAACCAAACCCTCTACATTGTGATGTTAAGATTTGATTTCCATTTGGTCGTAGAACATTTCATGAAGTTTAGGAGTATGCAAATACAACAACAACAACATACCCAGTATTATCTCACACCGTGGGATCTGGGGAGGGTAGTGTGTACGCAGACCTTACCCCTACCTTGTGAGGATAGAGAGGTTGTTTCCAATAGACTCTCGGCTCAGGAAAGCATAAGCACCACATTAATAAAAATATAGACAAGGAGGACAGTAACAAAAAGCCATATAAAAATAGAATAAAAACAACAAGACAATAATGCGATCAACAATGAAAGAAACAACAGTTAGTCATAAAAACCTACTACCAACAGAAAGCAAGACTGTGAGCCAATACTACTGTTATGAACACTCTAGACTACCTACTCTACTACCCTAATCCTCGACCTCCATACCTTCCTATCAAGGGTCATGTCCTCGGTCAGCTGAAGTTGCGTCATATCTTGCCTAATCACCTCTCCCCACCTCTTCTTTGGCCTACCTCTACCTCTCCGTAGGCCCTCCAATGTCAACCTCTCACACCTCCTCACCGGGGTGTCTGTGCTCCACCTCCTCACATGACCAAACGACCTAAGTCGCGCTTCCCGCATATTGTCCTAAATAGGGGGCACACCCACCTTGTAGCGAATAACTTCATTTCTGATCCTATCTAACCTGGTGTGACTGCATATCTATCTCAACATCCTCATCTCTGCTACCTTCATCTTCTGGACATGAGCAATCTTGACTGGCCAACACTCAGCCACATACAACATCCTTGGTCTGACCACCACTCTGTAGAACTTACCCTTAAATTTTGGTGGCACCTTCTTGTCACACAAAACACCGGAAGCGATCTCCATTTCATCCATCCCGCCCCAATACGATGTGTAACAACTTCATCAATCTCCCCATCTTAAAACTCCTTCTCCTAGGGATGACCTGCGAGTTCAGCCTCACTTCCCCTTCCCCTCCGTGAGTCTCGCCACTGAACTTATACTCCAAGTATTCTGTCTTGGTCCTGCTCAACTTGAAACCTTTAGATTCCAGGGTCTGCCTCCATAACTCTAATTGCGCGTTCATACTGTCTGGCGTCTCGTCAATCAATACAATATCATCTGCAAATAGCATGCACCACGGCACCTCCCCTTGGATATGGCGCGCCAGTACGTCCATCACCAGAGCAAACAAAAAAGGGCTGAGTGCCGACCCCTGATGCAACCCCATCATAACCGGAAAATAGTCTGAGTCCCCACCCACCGTCCTCACTCGGGTCTTTACTCCATCATACATGTCCTTAATCAACCTAATGTAGGCAACAGGTACACCTCTAGCCTCCAAACATCTCCACAAAATCTCCCTCGGGACTTTATCGTATGCCCTTTCTAAGTCGATGAACACCATATGCAAGTCCTTCTTTCTCTCCTTATACTGCTCCATCAATCTCCTAACAAGGTGGCTTCTGTAGTCGAACGCCCCGGCATAAACCCAAACTGATTCTCGAAAATAGACACACTTCTCCTCACCCTTAGCTCTACCACTCTAAGCAGCTTGATACCCCGATAGTTATTGCAATTTTAGATATCACCCTTGTTCTTATATACAGGAACCATCGTGCTCCACATCCACTCTTCGGGCATCTTCTTCGTTCTAAACATGACATTAAATAACCTAGTGAGTCACTCCAAGCCTGCCTTGCCCGCACTCTTCCAAAACTCTACCGGGATTTCATCTGGCCCGGTCACTTTGCCCCTGCTTATCTTATGCATAACCCCCTCAACTTCATCAACTCTAATCCGCCTACAATACCCAAAGTCGCAACGACTCCCGGAGAGTTCCAAATCACCCAATGCAATGCTCTTGTCCCCCTCATCGTTCAAGAGACTATGAAAATTATCACGCCCCAAAAACCGAGGAGCACGAGCGGCGCTTAACCGAGTGAACCCGACCGAGCAAGCCTATTAGATTCCTTCTACCCAAACTCATTCATGAATAAAGAGAATATATGTTTTCCTTAATTAAACAATAAAGTAGTCATGTCTGCAATTACCAATTTCTTACCAATAGTTTCATCATTTTTAAAGTTTCAAATGGACAAGTAATACAACCACAACATAACATAATTTGTCTTTTTCCAATACCAATACACAACCCACACTATGTCTACGGAGCCTCTATAGATAAAGAAGAGTACAATGATAATGCCGGCAACAAGGCCCCGGCTATACCTCAAACAGGATACACAAGTACAAAAGATTCATGACCCCGGAATAAAGTGGGGCTCACCAAGTCAGCTGGAAAGATGGTGCACTACTATCGCTGATCAATATCTCCTACTGTGGAACCACCTGTATCCATTGAAAGATGCAGCGCCCCCGGCAAAAGGGACGTTAGTACTGTCGAATAGTACTAGTATGTATAACTAAATACCCTCTCAATAGAATGACAATTAATACAAACAAGATTATCATAATATCAATAAAAGCCTTAATCAACATCAAACCTCAATTTAGGATCAAGACAGTGTTCAAATTAATTTCCATATCTCACATTGGGAGATTTTTAGTATCGATTTACCATTGTCCGCAATACCAATGTTCACAATACCAATGCCACCATACTTTTAGCACGGAGTCCGATCACGACCCGATCGGCTAGGCCATCCATTAGGGACATCAACCACAATTACTCTCAATATCAATACCACCATTTTTAACACGGAGTCCGGTCACGAGCCGATCGGCTAGGCCATCTCATTAGAGACATCAACCTTTTTATATCAATCATCGCATTTCATAATACTTTAATATCTTTTCATTTCATTGACACTAGTGGCCATAATTATAAGATCATTCTTGGCACGTTGACCATATTCAGTATTTCATGCTCACATTATCAATTTCAAATATCATCCTCATCATCAACAATAAACACAATTCAAATCAAAGTGTGTAGTACACATGTGAGCAATTTAGAGTCTAATGCACATAGAGATACTTCACAAAATTTGACATAATAGCCTTCATTTGAACTTGACTTAAAGTCGAAACATTATTAATACACAGCCTATATTTTAACACATCCTCAATTGGTAACATAACATGAATAGAGCATTTGGGATGCTTGTTGAACATATATCTTTCAACCAAATCTTACTCGAAATAGCCAATTTCATAATGAATCACTCGGGACTTACATAATTTACATGATTATCGTGGGATTCAATTCTAAGAGAAGATTTTAGCCAACATACCTCACTTGAGCTTCCTTAAACTCTAAAACGTTCCGGAATTCTTAGCAACTTCAATCTATTGTAGAAATATAACAAATCGAATCAAAATTTGGAAGATGATCATGGTTCTAGCTCACTTGAGCATTTTATCAAACACTAGGTGTGCATAAGGTTTCAATGTCCTTTTTATAAAGGATTCCATCATCCCACAGCCCAATCTTTATCATTTTTAGCTCAACAATCTTCCTACACCCTTTGATATCACATGCATGTAAAATAATCAACTCTCATGCCCAAAAATTATCTTGGTAATTACTCATTTTCAGATGATTTCGAAATTAGGGTTTAGGGTGTAGAATCTTATCTCTAGGATGAAAACCTAGTGAGCTTCCCTTCTCAATCTTTCAAAACTTGGGCAAGAATTGAAGAACAATAATTGGAGAATACCTTCTCACTCTAGGGTACCCTCTCTCACTCTAAAATGTTAGATTATGGCTCAAAAATGACCCAAAGAGTGTATTTAACGAAATAAAGTCGGGTTTTAAAAATCCAAAATTGGAGCTCTGGAACAAGGTATGCGATATGTGGACCGCATATCGGTCGCATATTTGGTTACAAAATAGCCAAAAGAACTGCCTGTGTATGCGGTCACTATGCGGTCGCATAGTCGACCGCATAACTGCTTCCAGAATAGCCCACACTTGCTCACTTCTGCGGCCATTATGCGGCATGCAGAGTGATTATGCGATCGCATAATGGACCGCATAAATGCACATTTCCGGCAAAAATTTTCCTTTACTTTTCCGTGCATTGTTCAACCCAAAAAGTTACAATCCTCAAATACGTAAGCTTAGTCCGGCACCATGAAATATTATTTGCTTTGCATATTTTACCGGGCTTTACACTTAAGTACTTTGAAGTTTTCTGGGGTGTTACAGAAATAGGTCTGTCATCTCCGACGAATAAGCCCCTCATCCAACAAAACTTTACCTTCTTCGTCCTTGATGCACTTCACTTGGTCCAAGTCACGCGCCTTCCTTTCTCGCGCCTTGGCTAACCTGAACAACCTCTTATCCCCACCTCGGCCCTCGAGTTCCTCATACAAATGACTAAAAGCTGTAGTCTTGGCCGCCGTAACTGCTAGCTTTGCCTCTTTCTTAGCCAACTTATAATGCTCCTTATTCACCCTCTTCTCCTCCTCGTCTACACTTTCAACTAGCTTCAGATACGCTGCTTTCTTGGTTTCCACATTTCCTTGCACCTCTCCATTCCACCACCAGTCTCCTTTGTGACCATCAGAGTAACCCTTTGAGACCCCTGATACCTCTCTCGCAACTTCCCTAATGCATTGCGCAGTCACGGTCCATATAGCGCTTGCGTCCCCACCACTCCTCCATGCCCCCATAATCACCAGCTTGACCCCTAACTCCTACGCTTTAGCTTCCGTCAAGGCTCCCCGCTTTATCCTATGTTGGCTATACACCGCCCTCTTCCTCCTCTTCCTCGTGATCTCAAGGTCCATGACTAGGAGCCTATGAAGGGTCGAGAGGTTCTCACTTGGGATGACCTTGCAATCCGTACAAAGACCTCTATCGTACTTCCTGCAGAGTAAATAATCAAGCTGAGTCTCGGCCACCGAACTCCGGAAGGTGACCAAGTACTCCCTCTTCTTTGGGAGACTCGAGTTTGCTATCACCAAATCAAATGCTCTAGCAAAGTCCAACAGAGACGTTCCTCCTCCGTTTCTATCTCCAAAACCAAAGCCACCATACACATCATCATACCCCCCAGACGCCGCTCCAATGTGGTCGTTGAAATCTTCTCCTATGAAAAGCTTCTCGTTATGCGGGATACCACGTACCATCTCATCCAAATCCTCCCAGAAACGCCTCTTGACTTCCTCATCCAAGCCTGCTTGGGGTGCGTACGCACTGATTGTGTTCAAAGTAAAACCTCCGATAACTAGCTTAATAGTCATCAGCCTGTCATCAACCCTCATCCTAACCTCCACCACTAGTTCATGGAGGTCCTTATCAACCAAGATACCTACCCAGTTCTTCCCCCCACCCTCCCAGAATACCAAAGTTTGAAACTGCCCACATCCCGCACCTTATCTCCTACCCACCTAGTCTCCTGTATTCAAGCTATATTAATCTTCCTTTTCTCGAGAATCTTTGCTAACTCTACAGATTTTTCAGTCAAAGTTCCCATGTTTTAAGACCCCACTCTCAGCCTAGTAGCTCCCTTAGCCCTCTTACCCTCTTACCCCCTCCCCCGCACTGACACCCCCGAGGACAAGACCTTACCCTACCATCGCTCACCAAAACCACTATAATTTAGGAGTCACTACGCAAGCACTATCCCGAAAACAACGGAGTATGCAAATACTGAAGTTTAATATTTGCAATATTTGTTTTGCCATCAGTATTTGCAAATATTGAACTTCACAATGTGAAAATACTAATAAAATATTGAAAATATTGTTTGAAAAGTGTGTCTCCTTCAACTCCACCAACTATTGTCCAAATGCCTATAAAAATCTATAGTATTTGATGTCGTCACAAATGATTGAATGTTCAAAACGATCAATCGTGACCTCTTAGATTGGTAGGGGTGGAGATGCCAAACAAATATGCAGCGTGTAAAGTATCGTTTTCTTCATCTTTTCAATTCTTTTCTGAAATGAGTAGTTATGATTAACATGCAAGGCATTACTTTGCATGACTAGTTGGTCACATCGATTTCATTTTAACTTTTTTTTTTAAAAAAAAAAAAAAAAAAAAAAAGCTCTTCGAGTGCTCACGCACCTATGTTGACTTTCAGCACAACACTTCACTTCCTCTTAGATTTCTTGTGTTATATGAAAAGCCTATATTCCTCTTTAATCATGGAAATGTCAAGCCTAGGACAGCGATACCAATCCCAAGAGGAAGCAAATTACCCCATGACATTGTTCAGAGTAAAAGTGGAATTTATTATTCTTACAATTTGTAAGGCAAATCTCTGTTCTCTTCTACTTTTGAGTGAGTGAAATTACTTCAACTCGAATGTCTTAGATCAATTGGAAGGATGAGTGCCTACATTTATCAATTTTGTTCGGTCATTCTTTCTTTACCCGAGCAATAGATATCTCGATACACACTTGCGGACTAATTTGAATTCATGTAGTGTAACACTCATTTTATAAAATAAAATTAAAAAAAAAAAAGTACTTCCTAACAGGAATTTATCACCATTTCCAAGGCTCAAGTCTGTGATAGTTTGGTTGAGAACGGATGAATTCATCCATGTCATGGGTGGGAATTAGAAGACAAATACAGATCAAGACACTTGGCCGTTGGACACCATAGACCACATTAACCATGGGAATCTGTTATAACCTGGGGAAAACGGTGGGCGAAAGAAATTGATGCCAAAATATCCCCATTCATAATGTACAGCCCACTACTTTACCAAGCTCGAATTGCATTCAGATATACAGGTCATAGTTCTATGTTTACCCTGAGCATAAACATTAAGAAACCCAGAGGTGAAAATCATTTAAACCCCCTAACTTTACCTTCAAAATTAAACTCCCCCTCAGTTTTGAACAATAATCATTCTCCCCCCTTTATATTAATTATTATTTTACAATGCCCATTTTACCCTCACATTCTCAAACTTTGTCTTTATTTTCTCTTTATTTATAATTATAATTTTTTCCTTAATTTTTTCAATCTATGTTGACTTGAAAATTAATTTCAAGAAAAAAAATAGTGAAAATAGTAATTAGCTATATTAGTAAATAATATCCTATTATAAAATAAATGAGCAGAATAAGAAAAACTTAATTTTTTAAATACTAATAAAAATACTATATTTATTTACATAAGTGAAAAATAAAAGAGAGCGAGAACTTTTCCGATATTTTTCAATGCAGGTAAAACAAGATAGTTAATAAGATTAGAGGTAGATTTTAAATTCCTCAGTTTCAGTTTTTACAAACTTATTTAATTGGGCACTGAACTTAAGTAATAAGTGAAGACTTTTGAAACTTGTGGTTTAAAATAAGTCAAGAGATTTTTGTGTAGCTGTAAATCATCTCATAAAGTTAAATATTTTTCAAATAAAGAAAGGGGGTCATTCTTTGAAAACTGACTAAAAATAATTAGGTTCACATAAATTGGAATGGATGGAGTACAATATATA